TGTCATTATCTTTTCAAAAAAGCTATGTACTCTATCAAAAGTTGAAAGTTGTTACCGGTTGTACAAAACAGATGTTTGTTGTTTTTTTTTTTTTCAGTTTGCCTATTTCTAATGGCTTAGTAGGAATGAGAGAGCGTGGGAGCCAGAGATACAAGTTTGTAGCTAGAGTATGGGACTCTTTATTGCCAGGTCTAGGAACTGTATCATGTATCAGGATGTTTCTTGTTGCAAATACTACCCAAAAAGTGAACTCAAGCTGACTAAAACAATATAGGGGCTATATGAGCTTACATAATTGAGAATTTCAGAGAAAAGGCAGCCCTGAAGTGTGCTTCCATAAGGCTTCTGGCATTCTCTCAGTCCGGTTGTTCTGTCCCTGTCAGTTTCATCTTCAGGCTGGTTTTCCTCATGGTAACAATACGAAGGAGGCAGCCCAAGGTGTAACCTCTGCATCTGATGCCATCCAGAGGAGGAGAGGGTCTGCGTCCCATAGGTCTCTGCAAAAGTCCCAGAATTTCAGGATAGCACTGTCTTGGGTCTAATGCCCACATCTTATAGTCATTAGCCTGGGTTGGTATATACTCACTGACTTAGTCCAGTTTCATGCTCCATTTATCAGAATGGTGTAGTGTTTCTCAGCATCTCGTGGACCCCTTATGGAAGGTCCAGAGGATGAGGAAGAACAAAAGGGAAAACTCAATACTAGTTCTAGTAGCAGCAAATACCTTCTCTGTTGATGCCTAGTCTCACACTGGCAGGTCTCTATTCTGCTTGATATCTAAGGGAGCTGGAGAGTCATTTTCCAGAACCCGCTGACTGTTGGTTTCCTGTGTAGTTCTACCAATGGAAAACACTCATATGCAAATAGGAGGTGGAAGGGGGAAGTTGATTCTTTTCTTGGTCCTGGCTCTGGTAGTGGCAGGGGTAGGTAAATCCTAATTGCCATAAGTTCCTGGATCCCTGCAGCCTCGGTGAGCTTATGAGCTCCTGGCTTACTATTGCAGCCATTCAACCAGCAGCTTAAGGGACACATGAGTGGTCCTGAGAACACCAGAAAACCCTCTGCTCCTTTGACCTCAGGAGAGCTTAGTGACTTTCTAGTTCCTGATTTCACGGAATCCTCATCTTCCTTCCTTGGCTCCTCCATTTTTTCAAAACTTGCAACCAATTCACTGCATTAAGTTCCCTCTGTTTGAAATATCTAAGGTGGTTTCTATGTTCCAAATAGGACCCTGACTGATACACTGCTATGCAAAGTATTTCAAGTTTTTAGGTTATAATTTTATTAAGCTGATAACTGATATGCATATAATTTCATAAATAAACAAAAGCCCAAATACGCATGATTATAAGTCTATTTAACATTGATTCCCTAAACCCTAGCCATTTTGAGGAAAATGTGATATTGCAAAACATATTTGCTGCCTGTATGAATGTAAACTACTTCCTTCTATGTAATATGGTGCAAGTTTCAGTTTTATTAAAATAATAATCAAGCTTTAAAACAACAAATGAGTCTGTCAAAAAATAAAACAGAGCACTTATCTTTCAATACCATACTCAATGAGTGGTCATGTCATCCAACAAAACAAGCAGGGAGGTAATAGCTAATATTGTCAATATAAGACATCTAAAAATCAATACATACATCATGTGTTCATACAACAGTTAGGAAAGGCATGCTTGACTTTACAGTCAAACTGTAAAATTTTGACCCAGTGACTGTTTTGTGTTGCATTATTTCCCAGGAATACAATTGTCAGAATTTGGTTGTTACTTCTGGGGCTGCAGTAGGAACATTGAGAACTAGTCAAAGAGAGAGCACTGATTATCACATTAGGTAAAGGAAAAACACAAGTAAAACTGTCTACTATACTATTACTTACAAGGGAATTCTACTGGGAAAGTATATTTTATTTGATTACTATAAGTAGAATGACATCAAATGGTAGGACAGAGACCAAGCTATGTATTAGCTCTTGGAACAAAATCTTCAATTGAGATGGAAAAGTTTGCATTTCAAAACTTCCCCTTGGCTTTACTTGTATTCATCTGCTAGCTATAATGACAGGTGCATTTCTGAATCTGGTTTCTCCTGTTTCCAGACATATGAGAAAGTTGTGTCCACACAATTGATAACACTTATCAGATGATTGCGGGCATGCAGGAAGAAACCTAGCTTAGAGTGGGTACATGAAATTGGCTAAGGCCAGTGTTCTCAAACTTTTTGGTCTTAGGATCCCTTTATACTCTTTAAAATTATAGAAGACTCAAAATTAACTGCTGTTTATATATGTTCATCAGAAAGTAAAACTGAGAACTATTTAAAATATTTATTCATTTAAAAATAACCCCAGGGGCGCCTGGGTAGCTCAGTCGTTAAGCGTCTGCCTTCGGCTCAGGTCATGATCCCAGCGTCCTGGGATCAAGGGCCACATCAGGATCCCTGCTCAGCGGGAAGCCTGCTTCTCCCTCTCCCACTCCCCCTGCTTGTGTTCCCTCTCTCACTGTGTCTCTGTCAAATAAATAAAATCTTAAAAAAAATAAAAATAAAAATAACCCCATTGGGGTGCCTGGGTGGCTCAGTTGATTAAGCATCCGACTCTTGATTTCAGCTCAGAGCATGCTCTTAGGGTCCTGAGATTGAGCCCTGCATTGGGCTCTGCACTCAGCGGAGAGTCTGCTTCTCTCCCTTACCTTCCACCCCTCCCCCACTCATGCTCCCTCTCTCTAAAATAAGAAAAAAAAAAAACTAAAAAAAATAATAACTCCATTAAGTGTAAACACAGTACCTGTTTAAAGACTTTTGTTTTTACTTTGTTTTAGGAGGCCATGAGAGACTCTGAACAGAGAGAGGAGTGGTATGATCTGACTTTCTTTTAGTAAGTTTACTTTGTCCTCTGTGTTGAGAATAGACTCAAAGGAAAGCAAGAACAGAAGCAAGAAAACCAGTCCCTGGGCTACTGCAATAATCCAAACAAGAGATGATGTAGGTTGTGTAGAAGTGGTAAGTAGCCATTTTCTGAATGTGTTTTGAAGGAAAAATCAACAGATTATTTGCAAAGTGGATAAGGGACATAAGAGAAAGAGGAATTAAAGATGGATTTGGATATGGAAAGATGGAGCTTTTCACTGATATAAGATTATAGGTGTGGCTGAGAGACAATTTGAAGCCTGAAAGGGCATTGTAGTGAGATTCTTGTTAATTCTTTTCTTGTGTGTAGACGGATAGAGTATCAATTATATTTATTTGCAGAAACTGTTCTAAATATACACATAGAGCAATGGAAGACTCGTGAATAACTTTTTCTAAATTAAAAGTATTTATGGATCAATAAACATGCTTGTGTTCTGACCCCATTCTATCTTGAACAACAAAGTCTTTAAGTGAGTCATTTAACCTTGTTATATTTCTTACTTGATAAAATAAGCATTGAATTAGGTGAACTCTTACAGTCCCTGACTAGATTCAAATCCCAGCTGTGTCTGTTTTTGTAAAATGGGAATAACAATAGTACCTACCTTATAGTTTATTGTGAGCTAATATGTGTAAAGCACTTAGAATGATGGCATTCAGTTAGTTAATATTAATATTATATCTTAAAGCTGGCATCTTCAAGTATATATCAAATTTTTAGTATTATTTGTTCATGGGGTGTGTAGGATAGAGGGGTAAGACTGGATGGCTAAGGAGAACATAAAGACAGGATTAAGCTTAAAGCTGGAGAACATACTCTTCAACATTATTACACTTAGAGAAGTTGTAAAAAAATCTTGTTTTGCTTACATTAAGCATCATTGAGCTAGATGGCACTCTTCAAGAACTAGTTATATATTGATATATATAAGAACCTTGAAATATATTGATTTCAGAAGAATAAAAGAAAATGTAAACATGTCTATATATATGGACACTAAAAATTTCCAGCCTTAAGTAAACAGCTTATGACATCTCAAAATGCAACAGTACTGAAAGTAAGATACTGCCATGGAATGTTGGAATATATACTCTTTTAAAGACAAAACGCATGCTATTCCACCCTCCTCATTTTACTATAAATTGAGAAAATATAGTCAGTTCCAAGAAAGACAATGTATATGCTAAAATGTAATGGAGGATACTGCCAAGGTTTTGGCGTTTAAACCACACGAATGCAACAAGATAAGCCATTCCTTTAGTTTTAGATTCTTCTGCTGATTAATCTCTTCTTCAGCTTCCTATGCTCTAGTCTAAGAAAAATGGGTCCAAAAGGAAATTAAGATCTATTTTTTTCCGATTAAATTGCTCAACCCTTCAGACGGTGAATAAACTAGATAGAACTCTCAAAGGACCCCTTTGTTGTGGTTGTTAAGAGAACAAGCAGTACTCTGCCAAGGCCTCTGTACCCCAAAATCCAGCTAGGCGCCCAAAGGCTTCTCTTGAGTCTCGAAGCGGGGCTTCTGAGCAGCACCACCTGCTGGTTCTACACGCGTCTTACTTCCTTTGCCCCAAATCTCTTTCTAGTGGACCTGCACTCTTTCAATCTTCGGCACCTAAGTACAAGTAAAGATTAATACAAAGCAGTTAGAACGATCCAGGGAGAAACTGCAAGTCTCCAAAGGCAGGAAAAAGTAGGTACCCAACCGCTCGCTTCAGGATCGGGTCGCGAGGAAACACAGCGCGGAGGAGCTGGCGCGAGCGCCCCAGTACAAGGCTCTACTTCCGCCCCGCGCGGCCCCGCCCCCCCCGCGACGCGACGGGCGGTCATGTGACCGCCGCGCGCGTTCCCGGCCGCTGCGGGCTCTCAGGCCGAAGAGGAAAGGCTGCGAGACGGCCGCGGCTGTGGCTAGAGAGGTGGGAGTCGGGGTGAGGTTTTCGCGGGGAAGGGTCAGAGTCAGCCACTGCGACATCCTAACCCAGGGAAAGGCGTGATGGCTCGCGGTGTCACCTCCAGCCGCGACGCGCTTCGGGTGGGCCCTGCGCTCCGGGCCTGAGAGGGGCGGCGGCGGGGTCAGGGGCCGGTACGTAGGTGGACGCCCTTGGGCTGGCGCGGTCGCGGCTCTCTGCGCCCAGGCGGGATAGGGCAGTTCAGCCCTTCCCTCCGCCCCCACCTTGGCTGTTGTCGCAGGCAAGAAGACTGTGATGGGCGCTGCGTTGTCCGCGGCCGCCGCAGCCCCTGCCCTGGGCGACGGCCCGGAGCTGGTCACGGTCGGGGTGCGAGAGGCGGAGCAGCGGCCATTACTGCGCAGCCTCTTCCGCCGGGATCCTCGTCTCTGCCTTTGGTGGCAACCAGGTCCCTCTCCTCTCCCCTTGTCGGTGGTGTCAGGCCTCTACTCGGGGAACTTCCGGCCTCAAGATTTAGGGGCGGCTATGGTTTGAAGGGTATCCTGCTCCCTGTCTTCCCGTGTGGAGGCCTCTGCCCGGGCCTTGGGTCAGATCGCAGCCAGGGCGTACAGTCCCTTCATTTTGTCTTTTTCCGGGAGTGTCTTTGGCTGCTGCCTTCTCTTCCCTCTTCCTCCTCCTCTGCTTAGTGTCTGGGTCTTGCCTAATAGGAAGAGCAGTCCCTCCACCTTGCCCTGGTTAAGCGCAGCGCTGCGTATTGTCGTGGTTTTGATGATTAGTAAATCATCGGAACAATTAAGAGACCTCTTGATACCCGTTGAGCCAAAAAAAACACCACACCTCAGTGCATCTTAAAAGCGGAGGCTGTTGCTTTGTTCTGGTAGCTGAGTAGAGTTCTCTCCCTACCTCGCCCCCCACCCCCCGCACCAATCCCATCTAAAAGAGTATGTACGGGTCTTCCATTGTTGTCGCTGTTTTATTTTCTGTAGGAGTCTAGAGAAGGCTGCAAAATTGTTTTGAGTTTACACACACATTTTGACAACTAGAGCCTTCCCTTGTTAACCATTTCGTATATGTTTTTATTTTTCTTCCCTAAGTGCCAGTTTAGTGACACTTTTCAAGTTTCGAAAGTACTTACATTTTGTTTAATATTTTTAGTAATATTTTTGTAATACTGAAACAGTGTGGAATTGAGGGAAGAAGAACGCCAAGAAATGACAAATAGCGTTGTCTTTATAGTTTGACATTTCAGGTCCTTGGGCGCACTCCCTCCCCTCCAGTGTGTGTACTTTTAAATAGGATGTGAAAGTATAACATTGGCATTGAAAGCAGTGTATAATTACAGAAATTGGAGGACTTAAGACTTTTTGTCTTTTTAACAAATGAATCTATGTTTAGACTCTTAAAAGGACGTGGAATATAGGACACATGAAGAAAATGACCCACAGAAATAACAGGATTTATGATGTTGACTCTGCTGTTTTCATGACCAGCAAATACTGTTTGTCTTGAGTGTCTGAGTGCTCTAAAAACACATGAAAATAGGTCAAGTAAATCTCTTTTAAAGAGAAAACCAGAAAAGTGAAAGCTACACTAGAAATAGATTTTTGGATGTGTTTGTTTTAGCCTTGTGTATCTTAAATTGGAATATTTTGTTAAGCCCACTCTTTGATTTAGAATTTATGTTTTAAATGGGCCAATGTAAGTTCTGGGCAAAATAAAAATAATGGTAAATATTTGAAGGTTTTTGTTACTTACTGGTTGTTAAAAACTTGGTCATCAGGGAAACTATTTTTCCAAATAGCTAGTCATCAGACAGGAGGTCGAAAAAGGAAATGGCTTTTTTCTTTTAGGAGACACGTGTCAACTGGTAAAGTATTTTGTTACAGTTTCCACCAATTTGAATTGTTAGAAGAATAGGACAGATTTTTTTTTAAAGGATCCAGAAATGATTTTTGACATAGTATAGAAGAAAAAGTATTCAGTCTTTTCTTTTCACAGTATTAGTCTGCTTAGAGAATATTATTTTATGTATTAGCCATTTACTAGCATGAAATGCCTGACACAGTCAGCTGGTATTTCAATGTTTTTTTTTTTTCCAGTGTCAGTAACAGAGGGTGCTGACCATTTATTCCATTCCCGTACCTGGTTCTTGATTGTGCCTAAGGAACATGAATTTGTGAAACAACAGGTTGGATTAGGAATAATCTTTGTGGGTATGGAAACCATTTTATTAACATTCTTCTACAGCCACCTGTGCCTATTTATGGAATATTTAGTGTTTATGGCTTATTAACTTTTGGATTAATTAAATAAAACCTGTTGTTAAATTCCTGTTAAAGTATTTAGAATTACAGAAATATTGAATAGGGTGAAGTAACACGGGAGTTATGACTTGACCAGGGTCACACATATTAGTAACAGAGCCTTTCTCATTTACAAAATGGCTGCAGGCTCTGAAACTTCTGTTTGATAAGATTAAAAGTATTTGTTCATGTTCACATTTCATGTTTTGTTTAAAATAAAATGCAAAGGCCACAGTTGGTGGGGGGATGTAAAGGTTTAATGCTTGAATATGAAGATTGTGAAGGTCATAGATTGCCATACAGTTTTTTTAAGGTTTAAGGGAAGTACTAAACAATAAGGGAAGTAATTCTTTAAGATAGTATAGTGTTGGGGCTCCTGGGCAGCTCAGTTGGTTAAGTGTCCAACATCTGATCTCAACTCAGATCTTGATCTTAGGGTCCTGAGTTCAAGCTCCATTTTGGGCTCCATGCTGGGCGTGGAGCCTACTTAAAAAAATAAAAAGTAAAATAAAATAGTGTAGTGTTAAGTATTGGCCCCCATTTAGTTGAAATGAGGTTTGACTGAAGACTTTTGTTTCCCAGTATGACCTGTGCTTTCTGTAAGCTTGAGTTTTAGCAGGGGATGAGAGGGAAAGCTAAAAATGGAAACATTAGGGCATTTAGTTACCTCTCTCAATTTGAGACTCTTCCTCAAGAAATATTAAGATGTATCTGCTAAATTACACCCTGTCTCTCTATTCTTTCACTGGTCTTTGCTTTTTCCTTTTTTTTAATTTTTTTTATTTTTGAGTTTGTATACCACAAGTTGGAAAGTTTGAAGTATTTTTCTTTTCTGTCACTGCTAGCTTTTATATAGAACATTTCCTGTTTTGTGTATTTTGAATTAAAAAAAAGTAAAAACTATTAAACAGCTGTCATGACGTAATTGGAAAAATATAGGAAGTCTTCAAATCTTTATAATTTGAAATTTTAACTGTTATATACTTATCTTTTTCTTTGATTAGTTCTTTTAAAAAGATAATCATTTATTTGAATCTATTATGTGGAAAAAAATGATGGTTTTTTGACTTTGTGACTGACTTGAAAAGTGGAATTGTAATTAAGTCTGGGTATTTTCAGAGAAGATAACAGCATATGCAAATAATAGAAGTGTGAATTTGTTGAGTGGTCACAAATTATAAATAGTACGGTATTACTTCATTTTCAGTTATACTTATTTACTAATTGGTTGAGTGGATAAATGACTTAAATTCACTGACAATCTCTAAACTCTTTTATATATTTTGAAATTTAGTCTGTCACCTTTTTCCCCCAGAATTGTTAAGAGGCAGAAATATGTAATGTAGTTTCAAATCTTTTCTCTTTTTATGTTACCTTCCTAATAGTTCTTTTCTGTATAAATTTTCACCTAAAGAAAGAACCTTAACCCATTCACTAATTGGTATTTGCGTATCAAAATACTGTGGTAAATTTTAGTTTGGTATATAATTTATAAATCATTGAAGTGAGAATTACATATGTTTGAATTATTTATGGTTTGTCAAATTAATTCTGGCTTATAGTTAGAAATTTTGTCTTACATCTTTGGATGAAAGTAAAAGCCTCCCTTTCCCCTCATTTAAAAAAAATCTTTGGTTTCAAATGTAGAAATTTTCTGAGGACTACTACATATGACCATTTTGAATATTACATGCTATTCCCTGTGTTGTGCCCACTGGCTTTATAATTGTCAGAGGTTATAGTGGATGGATCAGTTTGGCAGAATTGGTATCACTGAAACCAGTCAATTTTGATTACAACACAACATGCAGTTTTCTTTTTAGTCTGTGCCAGCACAGGTGTGGATAAAGTAACATGAAGTTCATTTTTTTTATTCAACAATCCTGGTAGTAAATTGCCAGTTTTGTATTTTTAAAAATTGTTAATATGCAAGACATTCTAAACCAGCATTGTCCAGTATGGTAGCCACTAGCCACATAGAGCTGTTGAGCACTTGATATGTGGCTAGTCTGAACTGAGTTGTGCTATATGTGTAAAATACACACCAAATTTCAAAGACTATACACACACACGAGAATATAAAATATCACATTAATAATTCCTTTATATTAAATACATTTGGAAATGGTAATGTTTTAAATATTTGGGGTTAAATAAAATATTTAAATTAGTTTTACCTGTTTCCTTTTATTCTTAATGTGGCTAATAGAAAATTTGAAATTATAAATGTGGCTTGCATCATATTTCTGTTTGATGATGCTATTCTAGACCTTTTCTCTGAGATACAGTACACTGAAGAAAAGATTTTTTTAAAGAAACACTTGGGTTTGAATCCCATCTCCCAATATTGATAGCTTTGTGATTTGGGATTAAATCCTTTGGGTTTGGGGGCGCCTGGGTGGCTCATTCGTTAAGCGTCTGCCTTCCGCTCAGGTCATGATCCCAGGGTCCTGGGATCGAGTCCCGCATCGGGCTCCCTGCTCAGCGGGAAGCCTGCTTCTCCCTCTCCCTCTGCCTCTTCCCTCTGCTCATTCTCTCTCTCTCGCAAAAATAAATAAATAAATAATTTTTTAAAAAGAACCAGACATAAATACTATAAGAAAAATTATAGGCTGATATCACATGGGATATAAACCTTCTAGCTAAAGTGTTAACTAATAATGGAATCCACCAATGCTTGTGTGTGTTTCTCTCTGTTGGCGTGGGCCATGACTAAGTTGGGAATATCCCAGGAACCAAAAGATGTTTTTATATCTGGAAATCAGTTACTATATTTGTCACAATAATAAATTAAAGGGGAAAAGCCCTATGATGATCTCTATAGGTAGAGAAAATATTTTTGGTAAATGTAAATATCCACTCATGATAATATTTTATTATTATTAACTCTTAGCCAACTAGAAATAGAAAACTTTTAACCTGATCAAAACTATCTTTAAAACCTTTAAAAACATAATATTTTGATAAGATTATAGATATATTCCTTTTAAATTAGGAACAAGACGGATACCTGCTATTACCACCCCTATTCAGCATTGTATTGGGGGGGTCCCATTCTGTGCAGGAAAAAATAAAAGAAATAAAAGGATATCAACCAGAAAGACAGAAATTTCATTCTTTTTCAGTGATATTATTGTGAATACAA